ATACAGAATGAAAGTGCCCCAATAATGTTATCTCAGGAGATTCATCGAAACTCAGTTTTTCTCCGTAACTACAACCTTAACCTCTTAGAATATTGTCTTAAAAGTTGCGCTTTTTGCCACCTCGGCTGGCCAATGATAAGTGGACTTGGTCATTAAGCTGTAGGTCTCTTAGTTATGACTGAGCTGTCCCAGCTTGTGGGGAAAAGCTTTGATTTTTATTAATAGTAGTTAATGCTGTTCTGACTGTTAGAAGTGCTAAAATTAGAAGTCGAGTGATCGGACCAGGTGGACGCGGATCCAGCTGAAGTGATTGCAACCAATCGATGCTAGAGTTTAAATAGACAGACACTTGAAGCGCAGTGGAGTAGGCGTATTCATTCGGCCTGTCTGCCTCGGTCTGTCTGTCTCGGCCAGGCTGTGGCCTCTGAATCTGTCGTTCAGGACACCTGCAGCCAGTCGGACAGCCAGCCAGGCTCCGGCCGTCTGAGTACGACCTACGCTCTGCCGCCGGCTATCGATCGGCGACGATCAACTGCAGACCGCCGACCGCCGACCGCCAAGAGCTGACTGGGTCGTTTCAAAACGCCGACTGGTGTTAATGCCTTAGTGGGCAAGCTGTCTTTGCAGAGAAAAGAGCATTTTGTCCAGCTGAGACCTGTCCTGGACCGAATCAGAGCCACAACATTTTAGTCCTCAAATATACGATTACTAAAGAAAATTCGTAATGGAGTTCGAAAAGAGAGGATGTCCTAATTAGCAAAGGAGAGAGCAAATTTTGTAGAGATGTATATAGGGAACTCACAAATGGGGTTTTTCTGCTTAATTTATTCCCTAATACTACTTATGAGATCAAAGTAGAGACTATAAAATCGATGCTAGCGATTAGTTTGTATGAAATTTTAATAAAATAACTATTTAGGGCAAACAGAGAATTGGACAACTACTCATCCAGATTCTGGATACAATCGTCTGCCAGCACTAGGAAAAGCTAAGAGTAAAGACCATTTATAAAAAGAGATTAGCAATTTCCTCATTCAGACGTTTTATCGAAGAATCTTGGGCCTTCTTTAAAGGTAAGAACTTGAGCTCATGCTCTAGAGTCTATGTGAGCGAGACTTGGTGAGCCATGCAGAAAAATTTATCCGATCAGAAAAACCGCACGCGAAGGTTAATGTGTCCAAAAATCGGAGGCAGCTGAGCAGGTGGTCTATAAACCAAAGTTTTACAGGATATAGAAGCTCCGTGGGAAAACGATAGAAAATCACAGAATAAATAACATCGTGAACAAGAGTAAAGAGTGTAGGAAATTGAGAAAGGATTATCTCTGGCCACTGGATACAATCAGGGAGTGAGAGAGTGTAAGATGGGCCACTGAATAAGAGGAGACTAGATTAACCTGGAATTGTGTCTGGGATTGAATCCGTCAAACAACTCATCTCTATTATATACTACAGCGCAGATGCATACACAACCTGACATCAGCATCACAATTGTAGGAATATACACAAGTTTATTTATTAGACAGAGTCTATGAACACATCATTAATATAGGAAAATTGTGTGTAAGAAGTAATTATGATTTCGATCAGCTACCTTGCTTGGTCTTATCAATTGGCTAATTCTTCGTAAATAATGGTTTCTGGCTCTACCGATGTTTGTCACTGCTGGACAGACGTAAATTAAGCACACATTTAACGGGATAGGAAGACGATCAACTAAGGCCTTCTTCAGACAATCTAGAAGTCACAAACCTTCCCAGGCTTCCGGTGCGTTCAACTTAAAAATCCCTTCCACCCGCATTTTTCAAATGAAATGAAAGGTATGCCAAGAGCCATACAGTGAGACGAGCCCACGCCGTATTCTTCTTCATACCTGCAGCACGAAATGGGCAAACGCGCATAAAATATTAACCCAATGGATGGACAGTGAAAGAAAGGGTGATAACTTGGAAGGGATAAAGCGTGAAAAGAGGCAAACCAAGTTAGCATAGCCGAAAGTTATGCGGACAAAAGGCTTAATGGTTCTAGTGGATGGTCACTGTGCGGATTTTTAAACAAAGTACATCATCCAAAAGGTTTAGACACTAGCATAAGAATATCAAAGCTTACTTTCCAAGGCCAGCTATGCAAAACACTCCAGGATGTTCATTTAAAGGTCAATTACATTTCTTGTTAAAATTTCCGACACGGAGGCTGAAGAAGGATGAAAGTTGGAATGCCAGGGAATTCTATACGAATTTGCGTCAGTCATGTGGCAGACAGATTCAGAATTGATCAAGCCTTCGGAGCACAAGTTAGTGGGTACCTTCACACTCAGCAAAAATGGTGTCGTGTTCAGAGGTCTAAATAATTTCAAAGACGACGCAGGGTCTTTATTGCTAAATCGGAAAATGTCTATAACACAACAGATGATTGCTCCGCACCGATCTATAGAAGACGGGAACCAATGTTCCGAGTACCACAGCTAATTCTCTGTTCTAATATCGGTGAGGCCAAATAAAAGAGCTATTCATCGGAACCGTTTAACATATTAAGGCCGCGTTGCTCAAAACCACGCAAAAACTTGCCCCAATATTTATCTTATCGAGTTGTAAAGTGAGTTGGTTAATCAATTTTTTTACGTTTCCAGTTATATTGCTGAAGTATTTCGACAATGTGTCTCCT